AACCAGTGAAGGCAGTGTTCTCGCCCCCGCTCCTGGTAGACGCTGAACTGCCTCGCTTTTCCGTTAAGCAGGTAGTCGGTGAAGGCTGTGTTCCCGCACCCGCTCCTGGTTACGCTGCATCTGGCATTCGTCTCTAACTCAACCAGTGAAGGCAGTGTTCTCGCCCCCGCTCCTGATAGACGCTGAACTGCCTCGTTTTTCCGTTAAGCAGGTAGTCGGTGAAGGCTGTGTTCCCGCACCTGCTCCCGGTTACGCTGCGTCTGGCAGTCGTCTCTAACTCAACCAGTGAAGGCAGTTCTTGCCCCCGCTCCTGGTAGACGCCAAACTGCCTCGTTTTTCCGTTAAGCAGGTAGCCGGTGAAGGCTGTGTTCCCGCACCCGCTCCCGGTTACGCTGCATCTGGCATTCGTCTCTAACTCAGCCAGTGAAGGCAGTGTTCTCGCCCCCACTCCTGGTAGGCGCTGAACTGCCTTGTCTTTCCGTTAAGCAGGTAGCTGGTGAAGGCTGTGTTCCCGCACCCGCTCCCGGTTACGCTGCATCTGGCATTCGTCTCTAACTCAACCAGTGAAGGCAGTGTTCTCGCCCCCGCTCCTGGCAGACGCAGAACTGCCTTGTTTCTCCGTTAAGCAGGTAGCTGGTGAAGGCTGTGTTCCCGCACCCGCTCCCGGTTACGCTGCATCTGGCATTCGTCTCTAACTCAGCCAGTGAAGGCAGTGTTCTCGCCCCCACTCCTGGTAGGCGCTGAACTGCCTTGTCTTTCCGTTAAGCAGGTAGCTGGTGAAGGCTGTGTTCCCGCACCCGCTCCCGGTTATGCTGCATCTGGCATTCGTCTCTAACTCAGCCGGCAGTGTTCTCACCCCCGCTCCTGGTAGACGCTGAACTGCCGTGTTTATTAATCCAGCCAGGTGAAGGCAGTGCTCTCGCTCCCGCTCCCTCTGCCGGTAACGTGGGTGTAATTACATCCCTCTTTCTGTTCGGCGAGTAGCAGCAACGCTCTACTCTTTCCATTATACAGGTAGCTGGTGAAGGCTGTGTTCCCGCACCCGCTCCCGGCTACGCTGCATCTGGCTACCTACCGGAGTGGCTCATTCATGTAGCGCCTGTATGGCTTCTTTTGAGCCATTGAGAAATGTGAGCATCTGAGGGAGGTTCTCACGGTAAACGCCTGCATGAGCTGTAGCTGCATGCCTCGGGCGCTCAGAGTGGCTAGAATCACTGAGGTGGAACGTCTGGCAGCAGCCAACAGACACCTCTCCTTGTCACATCCTCCTCCAGATCAATTCGGCCGTTCCCGGCGACTTGAGGGAGCGATGGCTGTGTGCTCCCCCCAATAGAAGGACTAGAAAAGCTGTCCTCTAAAGTGGATCGGCTAGCTGCCGATAGGGGCATGATGAAGTCGCCTCTTGGTCCTTCAGCCTGGGCCAGGTGTAGGGGCCTTCGGTTGACGCCCCTCCTTCGGTTGGCGCACCTCCTTCGGCTGGCGCACCTCCTTCGGTTGGCGGCTGACGCACCTCCTTCGGTTGATGCACCTCTGTATGAGGAGGCCTTGTCGCTGGTACAGACTCGTTGCCAGGTTTCGCTGGCCCAGTCACCACTAACGGAGGCATGTAGGAGAGTCCTCCGTAGCGTACCAGTCGAGCTAGGGGAGCTGTTTAGGGCAGCTGCCCTGGAGGCACTGGAGCGTGCCGCCCAAGCTAGGCAGACCAGGCAGCAGCTCTCGGGTCTTCGCAGACCTGTGCCCACTCCCAGCAGGCCCAGGGGCCGCTCTAGCAGCCGCACTCAGCCGCCGGATTACAGGGGTGGTCTGCAGAGGTCTTAGCGGCGCGACCCAATGACTTTCGTGCCCCAAGTCGCCCGCCTTCCAGACGGCCTCGTGCCCCCCCGGTCGTCGGCTGCTTTCCCAGCAGCAGCTTAGTTACTGGGTGGTCTGCACTTCCGTCCCTTGGGTGGTTTTCACCTTAACCCAGGGGTACGGACCGCAGCTCCGGCCCCTAGCCTTCGGCTGGGTCTAATTGACAGTCGTCAGCGATCCGGCAGGGGCCCTAGCTCTGGCCCAAGAGTTGTCCGTCCTTCTGTCCAAGGACGCAATCAAGCCAGTAAGACCCTCTGCTTAGCCCAGGGGGTTCTACTCGGCGTACTTTCTCGTGAGCAAGAAAGTCGGCGGATTTCGCCCGATCTTGGACCTCAGAGGAATCAACAGATTCCCGAAGGTGCTGCCATTCTATATTCTGACCACTGCATATGCACAGGTGGAGTGGTTCTCAACCGTGGACTTGAGGGATGCCTACTTCCACGTGGGCCGGGCAAGATGGTGCCTTATATTCAGTTCCTCCGGCCCTTGGGCAGACTGGCAGCTGCCTCGGCCGCTGGGCCCTTAGGCCCGCTGTCGTTGCGCCCCATGCAGATGTGGCTGAACAGCCTTCACTTGGACGCCAAGTGGCACAGGCACAGGGAAGTCAGGGTGTTGCAGCATTGCCTCCACTCTCTGTCACGCTGGAGGGGCAGGGCCTATCTCCTAGTGGGCGTGCCCATGGGCACCATCCCATCACGCCAGGAGACCATCAACATAGGTGCATGTCTCTCAGGGTGGGGTGCAGTGCGGCAGGGCAGGACCGTTCAGGGTCAGCGGTCTGCCCAGGAGAGTGCGCGCCAGATCAACGTGCTAGAGCTTCGGGCTGTGCAGCTTGCACTCACGCACTTCCTACCCCAACTGGGGGGCAAGAATGTGTGTTCCTTGGGGACAGCATGTACGTTGTTGCTTAGACAACAGTCCCTTCTAGATGGTGGACGTTCTCACTCCACTCTGAATTTATGTGGCTGCGATTTCTGCCCAACATGTTCGGGTCGACGGCGCCACGGCGGGGTGCCACAGGTCGGTGTCCCTCTTTATGAGAGGGGCTTTATGGCAGCGTCCCCCTAGCACCCCGAGGGCTCCGGCTTGGGACCTGCCCCTGCTGCCGGATGCCCTATCATCTCCTCCCTTCGAGACCCTGGCCCAGGTGGGGCTTAGGTGGCTGCCCACGAAGGCAGCATTTCTGCTTGCCATAGCCTCAGGGAAGCGAGTCGGGGAGTTGCATGTCCTCTCCATAAACAATACATGCCCGAGGTGGGACTCAGGCGTTGCCCTTTGGGCAAATGTGGCATTCCGGCCCGGGGTCCTTCCACAAACCCACTTCAATCAGCCTGCCCAGCTGGCACGCTTTGACATTCAGGAGTACGGCACGTCGAAGTTGCTGTGCCCTGGGGGTGCCCAAAGGGCGTATATCAAGGCTACTGCCTGTATACGGTAGTAGGAGCAACTCTTGATTTTGCCCTTGCGGCACTAAAGGAGGTTATGCCCTCTAACTAGTGGCTGCCCCACTGGGTTGTCGATACCATCTCACAGGCTTACGGGGCCATTGGCCGCCCCCCTGCCATCAGGCTGAGATGCCACTCTACAAGGAGCATCTCAACATCTTGGGCTGCCCTGAGGGTGGTGCCCCTGGAGACCATCTACGCCACGGCGTCGTGGGTGTCTTCTGGCACATTCTCCAGTTGTCATCAGGTCAATGTCGCCACTCCCCATTCTTTGGGCGTGGTCCTTTTGCCGAGCTCCGCTGTTTCCAGTGGTGAGCAAGGGCTTGGATTCTTCATGACATTGTTGGTATAAGTCATCCAGTGCTGAAAGCACCGCCTCTGGCGGTCAGTAGGGACGAAATAGAACGATAGTTACGGCTGTAACTACGGTTCTATGAGTCCCGGATGACCGCCAGAGTTTCCTGTCACTCAGAATTCTTGTGTGCTCACGAGAAGATTCTGGGAACAGATCCTCTGACGACACCGGCTGATATAGCCGGTGTCACGTGGGTCACAGGTGACTTTGTTGGTATTGGTACTCGAGCTGCGCATGCGCGCAATCGACATATCCAGTGCTGAAAGCACCGCCTCTGGCGGTCATCCGGGACTCATAGAACCGTAGTTACAGCCGTAACTATCGTTGTCTCTTTGTAGGACACTAATTTAAATTATTCTTAAACTATGAATTCTTTTTATGCTGTGTATGTAATTTATTATATGTAATGCCTTGTCTTTTATCTGGACCCTGAGTCTGTAATAAAGTTGTCATTCATTCATTCTGGTCGCTGAAATGGGGAATTGAAATTACGGGCCAAAAGTTATATAAGTATTAAAAGTAAGCATAGGACACCAAACCAACTGAGACCCGTCTGTCCGCCGCATCTACGCACTGCACTGCACACACACACACACACACACACACTGTAACACACACACACACACACACACACACACACACACACACTGTACCACTCACACCTACAGCTCCTAAAGCATAATCAGGCTACAGCCGTTGTGTATTTTATTATGTGAAGCACTAAATGGTCTTAGAAAAATATCGACTCTTTGTTTGTAGATATCTACTTTGAGAAACGGCCGAGGAGTCGAGGAGGGGACATTTGAGTATTGAGAAACCTCTATAGCGTTCACTGGAGTCCATTGTTTTGCCCCAAACACGTAACATGTGTAATCACACACTTAGCGATATAGAACATAAATATTAAAAACGTAGGCCTACCTGGTTTAAAACACTTTTGTGGTCATACTGTGGAATGAGTTCACACTGAAACGAGTTCTTCATTCATCATTTCGCGGGCAATTAGATGTAAGAAGAAGTCAAAGAAGTAGTAGAAGAAGAATGAAGCTGGTGTGTTTCCCGTAGCGAGACACTACAATACTAATTGTGGGCTTATCATGTTGATTCGACCACAACAGAAACAAAAAACAAAAACCTCGCTCTCTCCAGAGGGGCAGGTCAGCCAAAAAGGGAAAACGGGCCGTTGCCCTGGCAACATTAGCCCGTACCTGTGCACGTCCCTGCATTTATTGCTACTTTATCCATGCTACTTTTCCTTTTCCAAGCGAATGATCAGAAAACTTCATAATCAAAAAAATCTTACTAGAGATTTTAATATATTTTTTATATAATATATTCAATCAGACATACACATTTCATTTGTGATTTATTGGTGTCATTTGGAATCTCAATGAAGTTAAACATTTGACTAAATTTAAAATGATGTATTGTAAATGTTTGTACTTCATGTATTTAAAGCTTGAATAAAATCACCGTTGCATTTGCTCAGTACAAAACATTTTAGAAAATGTGTCATAAGATACAGTAATTAATTTAAAAGAGATTAATGTTAGTATAATCACACAAATACATGTCTTTAGTATTGCCTCTTTCACATCACAGAGGTTTGTTAACCCTACAATTCACCGTCAGTGCAAAAGTTATATCTTTTCTTCACAATTTTTAAATATTTTATAAAAAAATCGATTTAGATCAAGAAAGATGATCTGCATTCAAATCTTTAAAGAAACTAATCGTTATTTGCAGCCCCAACAAAAACTAACGACACATCAGACATAACGTTATGCTACATATCCTTGAGTTATAACATTTTAGATGTTTATATTCTTCTGAACTACATGTTTTGTGCAAAACTGCTGCATACAAGTTGTATAGCATAAGGGAAGAATAAAGAAAGGATATGCCAAAAGTATATTTAGATATTGCCTTATCTCTCTCGTTGTAAAGAAAATACCTTTGATTAATTGAGAACAGAATGAGCAAAGTTATTATGTTTGTTTTTTTAAAAACGAGTGTCAGTCTTGATATTGGTTGCCCTGAGATGCAAGTGAGGAAAACAAATCTGGTGTTCCATTTTTTAGGATCTACAATGTCTTCTCTCCTGTAATTATGATTTAAGAATAGGAGAGAATAGAAATTAACATGACCAACTTTCTGGAATGTCACTTTTTCATATCTGTGTATCAGGTGAACAAAGTTAAGCAGGGGACTTTTTTTGTCAGGAGAATTTGTCTAAGTGTGTATTACTTATTACTGTATTAATTTGATTAAAAGGAATCTTGTTTTCTTCCAGGTGAAATGTCTTAAAACTACCCTGGGAGAATACATGAATGATTTTAATCCTTATTATATTATTGGCTAATGTTCAATCTCAGCCTATTGTCGCTGAAAATAGTAACCCATTATAACAACAAACACCTTTTTAAAACTATCTTTTTTATCTATTTTATATAGTTGAACATTTTTGGGGGGAATTTTCTTTACCAAGCAAACTTTTTCCCCAAGATGGCCTTAAAAAAAAACCCATTAAAACACAGACTTTGGATCACCAGAAAGGAAATTCTCACTTGCTTCTGAGGACTTCCGTAAATTGTTCAGGGAAATTCCTTGAAATAAAAATATTTCACTTTATATGCAGATTATTTTGGTTGTTTTAAAGAATGAGAAGAATGACCTCTAGACGTCCTATGAGAGCACAAAGAGAGAGAAGAGGACGGGTAGGCAGGAAAGCAGCAGAGAGAGAGGAGCCAGACGAGTGCTTCCAGAGGACGACCCGTCCGCTGTGACGGTGACGAAGCCCGGCTGGGTGCTGTTGTCTGGGCTGTTGATCTGAGTGTTGATCCAGGACTGGTACTGCGACACTCGGGTGTACACTCCTGGGTAGTTGGCCAGAGCACAGCCTTTTCCAAAGCTCACCACTCCGGCCTGGACCCACCTGGAGCCGCTTTTGCTCACAAAGGGGCCGCCTGAGTCCCCCTGTAGAGGCCAGACATGTGGGTTATAACAGCAGCAGACTAAGATATTAAGTACATTTACTTTCAAGAAATATACTCAAGTACAACTCTGAGGGACTTGTACTTGAGCCTATAGCCCAGCTTTGATCCCTCTTACTCTCGCAAAGCACACCAAACACAGGACAGTTCAGCGGACTCACCTGACAGGAGTCCTTTCCTCCCTCATCCAGACCTGCACACATCATGTTGCTTGTGATGGTATCATAGGAGGCGCTACACTGCGTGTTGGACACGATGGGGACGCTCACCTCCTGCAGGCGCTGAGGGAACGGGAGTGAAACTGAAGAAAAACAAATAAATAGTATTAAGTATGGTCCTTCATTATTACCATAAACATACAATGTAGTTCTCTGTCCTGCTCACACAAAGAGCATCAAATTGATTATACTCTGCTAAAAAAAGTCCCAAAAAAAATAAATATATTTTCTCCTGGTTGTTTGATATAAATTACAGTAAGCAGTTAAAAAATGATTTAGATTTTTAAAAACACAAAAACTACAGTCGCTTTCCAAATGTAATACTCTCTTTTTAACTTCTAATAAGAATCGCAGCCACCTTTTTTAAAAAGCACGTACTGTTTCATGTGTGCATGCTATTGGGAAATACTGCGAATTTGACCATCTTGATCATATGCTGTGCAAAGGACTGTGGGTCATGACTCATGAATGGCCAGCCTTACTGTAAAATGTAACCATATATGCAGTTGTACATCCTGGTATTTTAAGAATACTGCATATGACATAGTATGGGTTGGGACATGTTACCTTTAACCATTCTGGAAAAAAGGCTAAAGAGTCTTGATATGTTTGGCCTTGGGACAACTCAAATCAGCATTGCCGTATAGGTCCATTTAAATGGTTCTCCTCTAGGGAGTGTGTGCAAATTCAGAACTACCACCAGAAGATAAGCAGCATTTTTTTTAACTAAAGGATTTGCCAAGTTAACGTCATATCACAGAAAAATGGCGGACGATCACGATAGTGAAAATTTGGTTCATAGTAAAAACGTTTTTATCGATTTTTTAAGGTGTTAACAATGACCTAGATTACTTAGAAAATGAATTGATGAGCATTAACCCTGATAAGTAAGGGTTAATATCTGACGTTACACAGTTCTTCTTCTTTGACACTTTTAGGGCTAAGCAACAATGCCAACACAAGTCTGACCAGACAGACCAGTTTAAGTCAGTTTGTTACAGAAATGAAAGCTTTAGCGCAAGTTCAATAAGGAAGACCTAACAATGAGTCACTTACACATCACTCTATTGCTCTCTCCCCCCTCATTAAATGCGTGGGCGTCACCCCTCAACAGCCAATTGCTGCACATGTTAAATTCCTTAAATGCCTGCTCTTCCTTCCTGTCAGTTGTCATTTCAGGTGACCACACGCAACCCTCCTCCACCCCTCTCGCCTCCCGTCTCCTCCAGGACAAAGCTAAAACCTTCCTCCTTCAGACCGGTCCCACCTACTTATCACCATCACCAGTGTCTAGACCCCGGGGATTTCATCGGAGCGGTTCTTTCCCTCCTGAATGATTATCCTGCAAACCGGGTCCTAATCGCCAAACACTATTCCATTCTCCTGTTGTATTATCATGGCAATCATTTTATTCATATGACGTGTAACAATAAATATGTATTCCATACATCACGTCTCTCCGGGTTGAACTACTGGTCCAAATAACTTTGTGGGCATAAATGCACTCCCTCGGGCCCTTAGCGAAACCAACAACAAGCAGTACGTACGTAGATCATTCCAGTTTGGCCAGATCATTGACATTCACCCGCACACAAAGACGTCCGTCTGATGAAGGATGATAATACAAGTAGCAGGGCTTTTGCAGGATGACTCAGTTCTTTGCGAATGTCACCAGAGGGAGTGTCTGCTATTTCAGTGTCCCTGGTGGAAAACACCTGTTGTGACATCACTGGTTGGGGGTGTGGCCTGAAGAGGCTAAAATAGGTGCATTTAGGCAGAAGTCAATTTCACATTTATTATAAACAGTTTACTGAGTTCATTAACTCCTGAATCATCAGAAAGCTGCTAATAAATTATTAATATTATTACTATCCTGGCACATGGTTTCACATTTTGATGAGTATTTCTGGTTTGTATACAGGATTGGAGGGGTACTTTTACTAGATACCTGTAGTACAACAATGATCTGCAACGTAATCTGAGTATCACAATCTAAAAGTAATGTAACCCGATTACTTTCGTTACTTTTGGATTTCCTTAATATCAATGCAAATAAATAGAGTAAATATCAATATCCTCTTATTTTCTTAGGCTAGGTTAAAGAATAGTAAAGTTTATAAATGTTTTTAGTTTAACACATTTATTAAATGCAAACACAGTATTTTTGTTTAATAAATCATGTGTCCATTTAAAGAAAAAAATTAAATAAGCCTAAATGAAATGCAAAAAGAAAATTCAGATAGTTCGTATAATATATCATTCTTACTTATACAAGATTTATAACATTGTAATCCTGCTAGTAATCCCCATTTCAAAAAACATTTACCAGTCATCTGATTACTTGTTTTTTTATTTAACTGTAGGGGAATATAGTTACCGTTTATGTATCCTGATTACGTAATCCCGTACCATGTTATCCATTACTCCCCGTTTGTATAGTATTTTTTTTAATAAAATTAATTCTCACCGTCACTCCGGATGGTTCCCCAGCCGGTGACCCAGCAGGTCGCCCCGGCAGCGTACGTGCTGCCGTCTTCGGCCAGGCACACGGGTTTGATGTAGTTTGTGAAGGTCACAGGTGTGGACAGCTTCAACAAGGCGATGTCGTTATCGCTTGTGGTTGAGTCATAGCCTGAGTGTCTGATGACCTGTGACAGGCTCCGGGACACCTCGTTTGGGTTGGAGAGTTGTTGGGTGTCCCTTCCGACATACACGGTATAACCAAAAGTGCTGGAGCTGAGAAACAGAGACAACATGTTCAATACAGATGCAAAGGAAGCACTCAGGTCAGATCAAATGGATGATGCATTATGAACAGGGGCCTAAAATGCTGAAGAAGATACAGAAAATGACTACAAAGAGACAAAATGCGATGACAAAGAGAATAAATAAAAAACGAAAGATGACAACTATTACAAACTGACACAAGAGACAACAAGAAGACACAAAATAATTAGAAAGACACACAAAAAAGGTAATTAAAAGATAATAGACTCAAAATATCTACACAACAGGGCAAAACAACCACAAACACACAACACGACCAAAGCAAGACAATGACACAAACTAATACAACGGGAAATGACAAGAGACACAAAAGATTACAAAGAGATACACAGTTATTAAAAGAGACAAATACAACCCCCCCCAGATCCGCCCATGCTTCTCATTGTTTTATCCATTAATCCATTGACTGTTTCCAATGGAGAAATGTAACTAAGAACATTTTCTCAAGTACTGTACTCTGCCAGAGTATTACAAGTTTCTGCCACTTTGTACTATACTAATCATTTACTGAGTAGTACACATAGAATCCAAACTTTTCTCTGCATTGAAGGATTAAAACAAAAAAAACGTTATGTATTTGTTAGTTATAAATATTAAAACTATAAAAATACAAAACTTTTAAAAGATCCATTCAGCATAAGAATTACTTTTAGATTTGATTCTTTTTAGACTCGTTTGTTTACTCGGGGTTCCATTGGCTAGCGCTCCAACACATTGTACGTGCTAAGTGGTGGGACATCTCTAAGCGGTTGACTAATCACGTCAGAGCCGGCCAGCTAACCAATCAGAGCAGACTGGGCTCTGGTTTCAGACAGAGACCTTTCTGAACATGGCACAAAATACAAATATGAACCTGAAAATGAGCAAAATATGTCTAACTCAGGACTTTTACTTGGAGTATTTTAGACTAAGTTATTTTTTCCACCACCCATTTGCTTTTTGAAAATAGTGAGGAATGAGCCAAAAATGCCCCCCTCACAATCCTCAACATTATCATTAACATTGTTTTAAGGAGAAGCAGTTACTCTGGAACCATGAAATCTATTTACCCAGCTTTTTGAACATTTTCACATTATATTTTACACAAAGAAGAGCATGCTGATTTGAATGTTCCCTGCCAAACCCTCAGTACACACTCTTTTTGTTGTGTTAGCAGACTGTGTTAGGACCTATGGTTTGGACAGGTGAGGTGCAGAGTGGTGTCTCACCTGGAGAAGCAGTGAGCTGCAGTCAGCACCCACTGGTTGTTGATCAGAGAGCCTCCACAGATATGTCTCAAGTTACGGTGCAGGCTGACCTGCCAGGGCCACGTGCCTGCAGGAGCAGCCTCCCCCCCCACAATCTTAGTGTTGAGCGGTGCGATGCCACAGACTGCAGGGACACAGTGCATCAGGGTTCAGAGAAAAGTTTCTTCAATAAATATCACCATATTATTCAGTGCGCTCAGGCCAGTTTGACATTTTGTGAAATACTGTTGTTTAGACTGAGATGCTCACATGGATAGGGAATAGAGTCAGGTGATTAGCTTAGCTTTCAAAAGATGTGTTGTTTGTAATGAAAGTGAAGTCCCAGGTTCCTCCAAAAATACTATATATTATACTTAAGACATGAAAACATAAAGAAATGAATTGTTGCATGTAACACAAGTGGATAAAATTAAATGCAGGAATTAGTAACCTATATACATGTGAAATCAAATCAAGCTGCTTTAAGAAATCTTATGTATAAATGTATTTGCCGGCTTAATGACTCTGATAATGAAATCCTCTTGGCCTTATCGAACATAAGGTGTAGTACTACACGCTACCAATCGCAGCTGTGGAGACATTTGTATAGTTGTCTCTTTGTAGGACACTGATTTAAATTATTCTTAAACTATGAATTATTTTTATGCTGTGTATGTAATTTATTATATGTAATGCCTTGTCTTTTATCTGGACCCTGAGTCTGTAATAAAGTTTTCATTCAAATCAGATGAGACAAAATTAAAAACTGTACAGTAGAGAATCGTTTGTCTATTTTTTATCACTCATCAAAATGCAATGTAAATTCCTGATTGTGATGCTTTAATTAAGTTTTTTCTAACTCTTGTCTGTTTTTTTTAATTAGTGTTAAAGGTCACCTATTATCCAAAATCCACTATTTTATGTATTTTATACATAAATATGTATAAAACCCTCTCTCTTTGCCTCCTTACCCGCATCTCTAAAAACAGGGGTACAATGGAGCTGATCCAGATTTGCTGCGGTCATGAATACATTACTAAAATGTGGCCCAACCTATCCTCCCCATACAGCAGTCGGCTAGCTGAATCCCCTCCCACAGCTGTGTGTCTGTATTCAGCAGGATGTCTACGAGAGGGACTTAGAGTAAAGTTGAGATATATGAAGCTACTGACCCAGAATCAGCACTTTTGTAGCAGGGCTGAAATAGAGGGGTATGAGGCATGGCTACAATGTATTTGGAGCTAAACACTTCAGAGATATGTTTTGTATAGATATGACCCCATAATATATTGTTCAAATATAGTATAATATGGGACCTTTAATGTTTTTCAGTGGTACTTGTGCAATCTTTTAACACTTGCTTTGCTAGCTGATCTGTTATCTATTTTTGCCAGGTTCTTGATTGTTGTTATGTTATTATTAGTAATTAAGTATAATTATTACTATTATTTAATCATCATTATTTATTATCATCGTTATTTATTTAGCAGTAATTTTAACATCTTTAATAAGTGTCGTTTTTACCTTTTATTAAGCGTAGTTTCGTTTTTTTATTATTTCTAATATTAGGACATTAAACAGGGTTAAAAAGTTTTAAAACATGTACGTCTTGAGCACCTTTAACCTCTTTTTATTCACAAGACACAAAAAAGAATACATAAATAAGTAAAGAAAAATGACTAATAATAAAAAGATTGAAATATGTTTGTTATTACAATATGCAAACCAAGGGGGGTAACTATGTAAATGAATGAGTTAATGTTTGTAAATTATAAAGAGACTGCAAGCAATGAGGGAACAATAAAAGCTCTAATAATGATTATAATAATAATAATAATGAAACCTTTCAAATAAATTAATAAATAAGAATTAAAAAAAGGTATAAGAGCATTACTCACCATCTGACTGTGCATTGCATCCTGTGGGAGGGACAACAACATTATTTGGTTACTCATGGGAAGCTGTAGGGTTTGCTTGTTTAGTTTGCATAGTGATATCATTTGTTAGTGACTGTGTTAATTACATTTCTCATAAGAACATTGTTAGAGGAAACCAAACCAGCAGGTCTATCAGTGTCTTGTGACTTTGCATAATAGGAGTGTCAGGGTGGGGAAAATAGGACCCAAGTGCAGTTAAAACATACAAAAAGCTTTGTTAACAAAAAGCGAGCTTTATTATAAAAAAGCCGAAGACATGAAAAACAAGAAACTAATTAACAAAACCAAAACCGGGGAGCACGACAGACGGGAACAGGCAGGAGACATGGACAAGCATAGACGAGGCAGGGAACAAGGACATGAAGAGACAAGGTAGCAGGGACATGAAACGACGACGAACAGACATGGAACACAGGACAAGACAATACTAAATACACAGAAGGGTAATCACAGGACAAGACACAGCTGGGCAGGGGAGGAGAAACACAAGGGCAACAGGTGAACACAATGAGACAATCAAACACACCAGGGAAACTAACGACAGGGGGCCCTTCTCACTTCTCTTATTTTTCATTTCCTCGGTCTCGGTCTCACCGGAAGTTGATTTGTCTGCGCCATCTTGAGTAGCGTCCCAATGGCCTTATTTCTGCCGGAGGAGCGATAATGGAGGAGCTATAACCGAGGAACCACCAGACCATCCTCTGATGAAATCCTCAGACACTCGCCCCGCCCCCTTACTGTGTATCGCTCACTGATTGGACGATGCAGTGCATGCACTGATCTGATGCTTCTTGACATGAGAGCAGTTTCCCAGCGGAGTGAAGAAAATACATGAAACTCACGAGAGTCACTCCTCAGTTTATACTGTGTTTTGTTTCAATTCATGTTTCATTTAGTTACAAATATGTGATATATCTGAACAACAAAGTGGTCAAAAATCATTTTATTCATTTATTGGAAACATTTTCATGATCGCTTTTTTCATTTTACATTTTAAGAATGGCGTTTATCTTTTTTGAGAATGAGTTCTTATTTGATTTTATTTATTTGGGTCTACAACAGATGATACAAATGTTTGTGTCAGTAAATGTGTACTAACAGAGGCGGGGGTGTTTGTGGAAATAAGGGGGACAGAGCTGCTGTCAGACGATCAGCTGTGCAGCGTCATCACAAACGGACGTCGCTTCACGTGACGCTCCGGAGGAAAGGACGTCCCATTGCTCTTAAAACTCATTCCCCTGCTTCTCGTGGTTTCCTTGCGTCTCTCCATGCTTCCCTGGTGGGAGGGACTAGTCACAGGGAAACGACGCAAGTGAGGGACGCAAGGAATCCATTTAACCGAAGTGAGAAGGGCCCAGGGAGGCAAACACAGGAAGCAGGACCAGACAAGACACAAGGGCCCTTTCTCATTTCATCAAATCCCCCTCCTCGACTCCTCGGTCCTCCGGTAGTGACCCGGAAATGAATTTCAGCGCGCCATGTTGAAGGACATCTAATTTCTCTAAATGCACTTCGAGGACCGAGGATCGAGCGTCGAGGAGGCTCTCTGGAGGAGCTATAACCGAGGATACACTGATGGGTCCTCCACGGTCCTCCACGGCTCCTTCGTGGAGGCATTTCCGGGAACAGAGATGTTTCAAAGAGTCGTGACGCACGGCCGGACTTATCTCAGCCAATGACAGCTCTGCATGCATCCCCTGGATATTATTTTATTAACTGCTCTCATCGCAACGCGATGTTTACAGAGAAAACAGCTGTGAGGTCCGTGCAGAAAGCAGAGCAGTGTGTATAATATATATCACTCAGTAGAACAGGCCTGGGTCATTCTACAGAAAAGGTGGAAGTGCTGTCACTTACTTTTGCAGACACCAAAATACATGACGTTGACCTAATACTCACATTCATTATATATGTTGAATAAATAGAGATGCTCTTTGCAATGGTACTAAATAAAAGTAAATAAAAAATGGTTTTATACGTAAATTGCAATTTATTTAAAATGCCAAGTTCAAGGAACTGCCTTGTCACTTTGATCATACATGGAAGTGGAGCCTATAGTTTTAATTTAAAAGATTTTTAAATAAATCTAATTTATATTTACATAACATTACAAGCATTACATATAACACTGAAATGGTAAAAAAAAACGCTAATTATTATTAATAATATCAAATAAATGTCAGTCATCCAAAATTACGTCATTGGTGTTACTGCTACACAAAACGCTTTTATTTTGAAGTAATGTACTGTCTCTGAAGTGCCTCCTGTAACAAGAGATCATTTGAGGCAGTGCAGTGGACAAAGACATAAGGAAAGTCAGATACTTCTTACTTTGTTTGTTAAAGGTGTCATTTTATCTTCACATTTTACGTGCGTCTTTCAAGTCTGTCATTAGTGTTACTCATTGCATAGCCCTAGGGGTGAACATTTGAATGGGAAAATGTATTTTATTGAAGAGTTAAACGATTTTGATATTGACTGAAGCCACATTTGGTCTGACACATTGCAGCCATTTTGTTAAAATGGTAGTGTTTTCTCCAAATTGTCACTGGTGTTACTCTTCTTCCTGGTAACGCGTAACACCAGTGACATTCCTATACTTTATAAGTATAAAAATAATTTAAAAAATAAAAAAACTTTAAGCTCTACTTGTTGTGGATTCATCAAGTTAAGAGTTAGTTATTGCTATTTAACAGGTTTTAGATGTTTTTAGAAGGAATATATTTCAGCAGATTTGTATCACCCAGATTCCACCTTTTCTGTAGAATGACCCGCCTACATTACTCTCTTTATTTGCTTTAGTTTAGGCTGTAGCCTGATTATGCTTTAGGAGCTGTAGGTGCGTGTGGTACAGTGTGTGTGTGTGTGTGTGTGTGTGTGTGTGTGTGTGTGTGTGTGTGTGTGTGTGTGTGTGTTGTGTGTGTGTGTGTGTGTGTGTGATGTGTGTGTGTGTGTGTGTGTGTGTGTGTGTGTGTGTGTGTGTGTGTGTGTGTTGTACAGTGTGTAGGTGTGTGTGTTGTACAGTGTGAAGATGCAGCGGACAGACAGGTCTCAGTTGGTTTGGTGTCCTCTGCTTACTTTTAATACTTGTAAATAAAACTTTTGGCCCGTAATTTATTTTCCCCATTGTAGCGACCAGAGAGTGGGGGGGGGGATATATCCAGTCTCTGATAGTGTTACGTTATTATGAGAGTGCTCTGTTTGATTCTGAAATGGTATATTTATATAAATATATTCAAAGTAAATATATAAGTTGTCATGAACACATCTGTCCATCAGACGTCTCTTTAAAATGACCGCTCAGAGGAGAGGAGTTCTCATTTCTCTAACCACCTGCTGCTTCCACTCCTCTCTCCTCGGTTCCCCTCCTCGGCTCACATCTCCTGTGGGCGGGACTAAGTCTCGAGGAGAGGAGTCGAGGAGAGGAGTCGAGGAGGGGAGTCGAGGAGGGGAGTTAGAGAAATGAGAAAGGGCCAAGGAGGAAAACATTTCAAAATAATAAAAAGGTGGAAAATTAAAACAACAAATCCAAAACCATGACAGGGAGAGGCTGGCATGTGCGGCATGAAGGGAACAAAAGGCTTACTAAGAAACAAAAACACATGCAGCAGGTTGTAAAAACAAAATGATGTACAGATAACAAAGGTGTCATGAGGTGAATCAAACTGACGAAGATTAATTTGTTAACCAAAGAAGGGTGATTGAAAACAAGTTGACTGAAAACACGGCGAGGGAAACAGGCTTGTCCGGATTTTCATGTTGAGTGAAACTCTGACTGCTGATAAGGACGTTTCTGTCATACCCTGTCACTAAGCATTAGTAGATAAGAGCAATTTGACATTGCTTTTTTGTTATTTGCATCACGAAAAAACACACCTTGATTGGCTCTTACATTCGGAAGCGTTAGGGCAAGGCTGAATTAAGAGGATAGAGGAGGGTTTTTTTGCTTTTTCTGGTAAAATGTTCAGTAAAATATTCATCTTTTAGTATATGAGCTAACAAGAGAAGTTATTTCTTTATTAACAGAATTTCAACTATTTTTCTTAATGTCAAACTGCCTTTGAATTATTTTGTTATACCCGGGACTTATGTCAAATGTTACTTCTTACATTCAACTTTCCCATTATATTATTCTTTACTAATTCAAAAATCTAAAATAAACTTTTTTTTAATATCTAGTACTGATACTGAAAGTTTGATTTTAATCGCTTGATTTCAAGTTTATTCTTAACATTTCCAATGTATACTTAAAATCTAAATTGTATTCCTGACGTTGTTCACTTTATTCTCAAAGTACAAAAAAGTAATTCTCCTCTTATTTACTTTCTTCCTCTATTTACACCTGGCACTAACATTGAACAATTGACTTTATTCTTGACATTTTGACTAGACAAAATTACAAAAGAAAATCCTCCTGGGACCTTTTTTTTGTCATTCTCCAAAAGAAATAATAAGAAATAACACAGTTATTGTACTTTAAGACATTATTTAGGAGCACTCACCTGTAAAAACCAGCAGCACGACAGCAAAAACCACCACCTCCATGATGTGCATGTTCCTTACTGTGTCTGCAGGAGGTGAAGAGGCTGGAGCAGGAAGGAGCAACCTGCTGGTGTTGTAATGAGGAAGTGTGGGTGTGTGTGTGTGTGTGTGTGTGTGTGTGTGTGTGTGTGTGTGTGTGTGTGTGTGTGTGTGTGTGTGTGTGTGTGTGTGTGTGTGTGTGTGTGTGTGTGTGTGTGTGTGTGTGTGTGTGTGTGTGTGTGTGTGTGTGTGTGTGTGTGTGTGTGTGTGTGTGTGTGTGTGTGTGTGTGTGTGTGTGTGTGTGTGTCGTTTCGTTTCGTTTGTATTGGGTACTTCACACTTCCCAGCTGTGGTGGAAGAAGTATGCAAATACTTACTTACCAGTCAAATGTTTGGACACACCTTCTCATTGGAAGGAGTTTATTTATTTAAATGATTTTCTACATTGTATATTAATACTGAAGACATCAAAACTATAAAATAACACAAACAAAAAAGTGATCCAGAATATGATTTATATTTTAGAGTCTTCAGAATGCTGGTTAAGTGTGCCTTGAATTCTGAATAAATCACCAACAGTGTCACCAGCAAGCCCCCCCACACCATAGAGGTTTCTCAATACTCTAATTTCCCCTCCTCGACTCCTATCCTCGACTCCTATCCTCGATACTTAGTCCCGCCCACAGGAGATGCGAGCGGAGGACTGAGGAGGGGAACCGAGGAGAGAGGAGGGGAAGCAGCAGGCGGTTAGAGAAATGAGAACTCCTCTCCTCTGAGCGGTCATTTTAAAGAGACGTCCATTAATGATGACAGGAGGCACAGCAGCCCTCTGTCTGATGGACACATGTGTTCATGATGACTTATATTTACTTTGATTCATTCACAGTGCGGTATTAATGAGAGAATAACAGGCTACAGATGCGGACACACACACACACACACACACATATATTTATAGAAATATATACAATTTCAGAATCAAACGTATAGAGCACTCTCATAATAACGTAACACAATCAGAGACTGGATATACCCCCCCCACCCCTCTCTCTGGTCGCTGAAATGGGGAATTGAAATTACGGGCCAAAAGTTGTATTTACAAAAGTAAGCATAGGACACCAAAACAACACACACACCTACACGTCTGTACCACACACACACCTACACACTGTACCATGTCACACACCTACAGCCAAGGGTGTAACTTTGGTTTGAGAAGTGGGGGGGACACAAAACAGGGGGTCCTCCGCAATGAAACATTTTCTCAATTCAATTCCATTTCCTGCCTTTCTACAAATATATTAGGGACTATAGTCCCTAATATATATATATATATATATATAGTGTTAACAAATCCAAGAAAAATGTGTAGTGTATATAATGAGTGCGCAAACTTATCTAGTATTATTTAGCTAATTTGTATTTTAAATATTAAATGTAAAGGAATGGAATACATATATATATATATATCTTAGCTCTTAGCTTGACATGCTCAACGTTCAGTTAGCATATATGCTTGTTCAGTTATTATGCTCTTACTAACTTTTCTTCATACAGGGGCTTCCGAAGCAGACCCATGGGAATGACTGGTGTCTTCATGATAATGGTGAGTAAGGATAAGGCCGTGATATGGCACAATTAATTGCTCCTTAACACCTTTCATTTGTAAATGCATGCAATAGTGATTCTGTCATGTCTAGGAAACTAATAGTGAAAGTGTATTCTTTATGTTAGTTTTGTCATGTCCCTTTGCCCTGTGCTTTATGTTTATTCCCTTAATTAATCATCCCTCTCATTTCAGGCCTCCACGCTCCCCCCCCTTTCTGTCTCCTGCGTCCTTGATTGTTTTCCCCGCCCTGATTGTTTCCACCTGTGTCCCCTTTACCTGTGTATATATTGTGGTAGCTTCCTCCTGTTCATTGTCAGTTCGTTGTCTTACTATGACCCACGTTCCTGATTACCTCACGGACTTCCCACGGATCTACCTCATTGATCACTTGCTAGTTTTCCTCGAAAGAGTATATTTGTTTTCCTTGTTTTGATTACTGTGCTAAATTCCAGTAAAGTCTTTATTTTTTGAGAACACTATCTGTGTCGTGCAATTGAGTTCATGCCTCAGAGTCTCTCCTTGACAGATTCACCACCACTTAGACCTGACAAACGTTCTGTTTGAATCCCAATGTTCTCTCACTTTATGCACTTGCAAATAAAAAGGTGTGCAATAATAAAAGGATTTAAGGAATGTTCACGTAGGTAGGCCTCTCGTGCATCTTTCTTGTGGCATTATCAGCCCTGCACATTTTATTGGAGGTGTGTGACTACTTTCTCACTGAGTTATAAGCCGTCACGTGTACATTATGTCTTGCATGTCTTAATAAAATTCTCATTACAGTATGCCTGGTATGTTGCCATGGAGGCCAGCTTTGACTTCAGCATTGTAAGTATTAAGGAAATAAGTCACATTAAAATGCTATAACAAACTTAATGAAAATTGGTGCTCTTTCTTTAGCATGACATGTCTCTCCTGAGAAGGTGGTGGTGTGTTATCCTGATGGAAAACTTTGGACTGGAAGGGTATGCTGCAGTGCTACAAAAACATTTGAATTTGTAATTGTATTATCAAGAAGATTTGGGGGGAACACCTGGCTCTAAAATTCAGTCTTCTGGTGAAGAAAATGTGTCTTAATTGCAGGTATGGAAAGAAGTTTGTTCACTATAGTGAGAAAGGCAGGGCGACCCTTAGCGACAATGTCCCACCTATATTCAGGATCGGTTGTAAAAGGACGCATGCAAGCAGCACCATGGTCAGTGTATCGCTCAACGTATCTATGACCCTGTGTGCCTGTTTCAGAATGGGTTACTACTCCTAAAACACATACTACATAGAACTTATGGTACATGCAACATTTGTTTTGTGTGGTATTGTGTCATTCTGAATCGAGCCTGGATCATTTTTGAAGTTAAACCGTGCATGTAAAGCACTGTCAAAATAATGGTTGACTGTCTACAGATGCCCCTGGACACTGATGAGGACCACTCCTATAACAAGAGGCCTTACAGCAATGGAGTTTATTGCATACAAACATACTATCCGCCATTCACATGGAAATTGAGGATTTTGAATCCACTTTTTAGCGTCATATGTACACGGCACAGCAGACACAGTGAAATATAGACTCTGCATTCAACCCATCCTAGTATCAGGAGTATCTAATATTCAGAGCATTCCACTAAATAATATTTGGCCTGTGTACCCATTAAGGAAAGTCATGTTACCATGGACAAAGAAGACGGAAGCCTGGAAGGCGAAAACAGCATCTTCAAGATGCTTGAGGTCAGTAAGGAAGTGCAAATGTTCATGGAAATTACTTATTCAGAGTTGAATTTAACATGTTTAAGCATTGTCAATTACATTTTAGGAAAGGGCTCAACAAGCTCAGCACCATCGAAGACTGACCAGTGGCTTGTTAATAGATTGTATCACTCAGGACAAAGGCTTACTGCAACATCTTGAAGTGAGTTTGCAATTGAAATGTTTAAGTAAAGGGACTCATTTAAGCACAATATAAATAATTAAAGTGAAATATACATGTATTTTTAGCATTCTCCCAGTAAAATATAGCATTTGCAGGCAATCATCACTGGACAAGTCAAGTCTCCTTGGGCAAAGAAGGAGATGATGACCAGGTGGACCGAGTGTTGTCATTCCTCTCACAAGTGGTTGAGAAAACACAGACAGAGAGAAGGTTCACAGATGAGGTGGCATTCGTCATGGATGTGCTTCGGCCAGAGGTTAGATTTCACCGACTTTTTATTTTTATTTGTCGACTACACATTATATAAAATTACATATGTTGCACTTAAACTCATGGTCAATGTCCGGTAGAATGTTGATGCCAATTGGTCTGGCATAATTGTCACCTGCAGAATGGCACAACCTTTATTGGATGTCTACATTTTACTCTAACTGTTAAACGTGTGGCTTTAATCCCTTCATGACACAGGCGACAGTCCACGCCCTCGCAGCTGTACTCTCGGTTTCCCTTGAAAGAGCCAAGGAAACGTATAAATGTTGAGAGAGAATGCTAATACAATTTCCATTAAAGTGTACAACCCCTGATGCATGTGAATTTATAATATTACATATGACTTCTTTATACCATCTTGTCTTATCAGTGAGATGGAACTTTGTTCTCATGACCTCACCAAGAACATGAGTGAGGAAGCGCACCAAAGGCTGAAGGACTTCAGTGAAAGATTCCGAAGAGCTTTGGATTCCGAGGAGTTTTTAAATAGGCTTTAACCTCTTGCAGGTCAATCCTGGCTGCTTACATTTTTATTTCAAATCATGTTGATTTTACTGTTGGGATCAATTTAAAAGTTTTTTTTTTTTTAAGCAGACCAACTTGAATGGTGCCCCTCTGATTTTCCAAATGATGTTTTGTTCAATAAATGTTCATTGAGGAAAACGGTATCAGTGTCTTATTTTATATACATCACAGTGAATGCAGTGAATGCTGAACATGCCGGACCATATACTGTAGTTGAAAGTACACAATGAAACACTGGCTTGCTTGTATTAAATCAATACAATTCCCACATGCCCTACCCCGGAACCTGCGGTCTTCAGACTCTGGCCCCCCGCACCAACCTGCGATCCTTCGGGGACAGAGCCTTCAGTATGGCAGCCCCCACTCTCTGGAACGCTCTCCCTGCGGAGGTCTGCAACATCCCAACGCTTGATGCCTTCAAAAGGGCCCTCAAGTCCCATCTGTCTGCCAAGGCCTTTGGTACAGTTCTATTGCAAATGAGATGTCTTTAGACATAGGCCTACCTCTTCTCTGATACAGTCAAATTCCGAATGGGGGATAAGTGGCACAACAGCTTATAAATTAAGAATGCTTACTCTGATGGTCATTATATTTGGAGAGGGAAATACCAGGTGGCTGAACTACATCACCAAATAGTCAGAATAAGAGTAACCTAATACAATCAAGTGTATTAGTTCTAAATTGCAAGCCTCTAAAACATAGGTGTAAATAGTACAGGTTTTATTGCAACTGGAACCTTAATTCAAAGTACAGTATATAAATCATCAAATAATTCTGTGAGAGGTCAA